TGCAGTACGTAGTTACGTCGCTGTGGACCCTCAACTGGGGCTCAGCCGTGGCATTTTATAATCCCGTCGTTGAAGCACACATATCGTTGCACTTCACTGGCTCAGGCAAGCGACCAAATGTAAGTGCTATAGGCTTCGGCGTTGTAGGAGACCCGTAGAGCTTGGGTTCCAGAGAGAGACGTCGTCACGAGAAATATCACGTGACCCACATTCGTTTTGGTACGGAGGCGACGAAAGATGATTCCACAACAATCGAAGGTGAGGAGTGACTGAGGTTGAGCAGGCTACGGAACACCAGCAGCTTCACGTCATGGACTCGGATAGCCGTAAAGAGAGTATGGAGAACCAACGGGAAACAAAGCCACGATTCCGGAAAAACACGCGGACCCGGAGCACTTCAAAGACAACCTCATCTCTTTGTCCACATCCACGCCGCAGCCAATATCGCCGGAAACCACTCTCGAATGCACAAGTGAAGGTACGAAAGGAGCAGTAAAATGGACTGGAAAAAGAGCTGAACTCCGTCGCCTCGCCGAGAGCTGTTGTCCTGCTTTCTGCTACCCGACCCATCTATTCACGCCCATCATACGAGATCATGCCCGTCGTTCGACACCATGTCCGTCAAAGGACCAGCGCTAGTCAGAGCTATACTGGAAGAGCTGGCGATGAGGACAATAACAAGAAGTGAGACACGAGAAAGGCGCTGCGCGTACGAGGGTGATGACTACGCCGTGCGGCGATACCGGCCGGAGAATAAAACGCACGTCGTGCCTCCGTCGTATTTGGGACAAGACTAGAGCTTCTTCGATAATTTTTGGAACCTCGGCCAAGGCACATCCATTTCCTCGACAATGATGGCCGAGTTTTCCGATCTTTAGTGCCTTGACTGGGATGCGGAGTCCCTGCAAATGTGGAAGAACAAGTGCCAGGAATTCCTTCTTTGCGCGTAAGCAGTCGCCGTTTAAGGTCCACGGATTATCGATCCATGCTTGTGCACCACTGAATGTTACGCCGAGAGTCGACAGTCTTCCGAAGCCGTAGCTCGTCGTGGAATCAGTGCCGAGGTGTATGAGGGGTGCAAGCCAGTTGGTATTCTTAAGAGATGGCGCCAACAGATCCAGATGCATTCTACGAATGTGGCGGCGTACTCCGAATGGTGGGAGAACGATCAGTGGCGTCTGTTCATTTATGACCGCTGTACTCGGAATCTGTATGATCTGGCCGCATAGAACACTGTGAGGCCCTCAAGTCTGGTCTTCGTAGTGTCTTTCGAGCTGCTGGAGAGTCTTCATGTCCTTGAGCTTGTGTCGTGCTCCCGCTATGCACATGACGTGGTGGAAGTCGATGAGGAATCTTCTGAAAGTGAAGACCTCTGCTTGAGGAGAAAGGTGGCGGGGCTCGAGAGGAGCCTCGTGAACTGGAAAGAAGATCTCTAAAGGAAGCGGCCGACGAGGCAATCGTGCCTCAGGGGTACTGGCTAGGTCAGTCGCCATTGCGATTCGATGACTGCTGTTGCTATCTGATGTCGTTGATTCGGTGTCGTTGCCGCCGTGGCTGACAGTGCTCGGTTTGTTCATTGAGCTTTTGTCCATCGTGTCGGAATTGTTCGTCGGTATCTCCCCACATAAAAGGAGATTTGCCATCTTCAGATAATCCTCCTCTACTTCAAATCACCTTACGGGTAGTTTGGTTTGCGTTACGAAAGCAGGAGCTAGAGCGTACAAAGGTGTTGTTACTGTCCGAGATCTCTGAGTTGTAGGCTCTCATAATGATTCGGTCAACAAGCGAGACAGGATCTAGGCGACGCGCGACTTTTCCCCCTCAGCATAGGAAAACAGCTCTTCAACACCACCACCAATCTGCTCCGACAACTCTTAAGCCATCTTCGTTGAAGGAGTGAGGTAGTCGTTGAGCAATCTCGACTGGTCGCAGCCATAAGTCGGTCACCAATCACTATACGGGCGTATACTTCCGAGGTGTGTCTCCACAATACCTACCGTCGATGCATCGTTCCTACCTGGCATCACAATTACGGTTGCAGATTGGATGCACTCAACATGAATAACACTGAGTAATGGGCTACTTATCGTTCGAAAGTCTACTTCAAGCCACCAACGACGTATCGAAACACTAAAGTCCACTCCGTGTTGAGCTTCTTCGACAACGAGGGCTCCAAGTTGCCATACTCTCTCTGTTCTCCATTATATTCGATTCGCCAAGAGTGATCCGCTTTGCCGTCGGCGGCGACAAGGTCAAGTCATTGCTATGGAAGGACTCGAGAGACATGAGTGTGCGAACGGAGCCGCGACCCTATCTTGATGTCGGCACGCTGCTCCTAGGAGTGTTAATCGTAGATCTGGTGCACTATCACCCTCTATCGCTCGTGTTTCACTTCGCACAGGTCCTGTATTACACGATATAATCAACAATGCCCCGGACGCTCCAAGCGATTTCAACAGAGACCGCAACTGTCCAGGCCTTGCCTCGCTTCATCCATAACCCTGATCTTCCGTGACGTTCTTCGAAGCCATGCGTCCTTTTGAGGAAGCCGCAGCTCGTTACGACGGTTGCTCGCGCCCGTGGCAGATGAGACATCGTGTTTGCTGGTCATGTTTCAGGCACGAAGGGGTGTGTATGCATTTCTTTGGGCACCGTGGACCGAGCGATCTTGAAATCGGAGGAAGGAGAAGAACGCTGCGATCTCCCGGGGTGCCCGAATCGCTGTCAATGTATGTCTCCAAAGTGCCGCGGTGCTCATGGACAGTCTATACTGCGACATCAGTGAACACGTTGCGCTGCAGAGGATGAGCAGGACACCGTACGGTCGCGGAGGCGATCCACGTACTGCTGTGCCATCCCCTACTCGTTCGTGGAAGACCTCAGTCAGTATTGGGCCTTTCGAGTGTCTTAACATCGTTGTAACACCCGGATCGATGGTCGTCATCAGCAGCTATCGAAGTTGCCGCATCTGTTCCTCGCGTTGCCATAGTCGATCGTCGCACGGGAGTACGGAATGGCGGAGTAATCAAGACTGTTCTCGCAACGCTGTGAAAGATGCGCAGTGAAAGATGCTGCAAATACTTCGTCGGCCCTGTACATTCGGAATCTATGGCTGGAGAGGAAGAATGTCTTGCCATCTGAGGCACCTGCGTTATCGTATGCACCGTCGGTTTCTCGTGTGTCTGGCATGCTGCGCCCAGGCTCGCAAATGCTGCTCGGCCAAAGGAGACCTCCGGACCCCCGAAAGCGTTCAATGAAAGTGCGAGACCCCCCGCCTGGCCTAGCCTGCGTCCTGAAGTCATCGAGAGTTCGAAGACATGAGACCAGAGTCACTAGGCTTCGGAAGATGCTTGCTTGGGGATTTCAAAATCCTTTTGACGCTCAGCTAGACTGTGCAGGGTCGGGTCGGCTACTGTACGAACAAGCTGTCGAGCTTTCCTGCGCGATGAAAGAATTTGTCAAATTTCTTCCACCAGCGTCGACACGGTGATTGGGAGCAGTGCATGGTGCATCAAACGATACAGTCAATCACCATATCTTTGAATACCGCAGTGACCAGGACTCTGGCACTGTCGACGTTGTGGGCACTTTCTCATAGCTAAGACTCATTCACCACTCCCTATTACCATGGAGAGGTTGCTAAGTGAATGCGAATTGTAAAGAAGCGGCACTCCATGGTTCGACTGCTCCGTGTTTCCCTTGCAACCTGAACCTCCTCGTGGCTGCCAATAGGTATCGGACGACACACTGCTTGTGCTTCCTGGCATGGCAAAATAACCTCACAGTGACAGTAGCTCGCAACATGGACTTGGCTGGCAGAGGGTTACGAACTGGCGGCCGTACCATCTCTGAGTCTTCAATCTCCAAGCTTCGCCGAGATCTGTGTGTCACTGTCGTGGCTGTGACGTGGTCAAATACTCGCTCAGGGGCTACTGCAAACTGCATCCGGAAGTACTCAAGCACGAGCAAACTTATCTCATCAACTCAGGTGGTTTGATCTGATGGTGAGGCTCTGCTTGCCACTTTTGGGTTCCTAGGAACCTTACGAACTATCTCCTCCGTGGGAGTGGAGCCAGAAACACTACAAACCGGCAGCAGAAGATATGGGGTCGGATCCTGTAGCCACCGACCTTTCTTTTGCCTCTCCACTGACTCTACACCCGTTTTGGCCGTCGCCACTGGCGAGCATCGATCTGCCTTCCGCCAGTCGAGATGTTTTGCACTCTTCCATCTATCTGCAGTTGAGCCTCTGTAGGACGACAGGAGCACTGCGGTCTTACTGTCTTGGTCCACCCAGCGTTCCATCATACCACGCATGAATCCCAGTACCAGCGAACAGCCCTTCCATAGTCAAGTGTACAGCCAAACGTGCCCTTCATTCTCCTGCGCAAAGCGCGACTGTGAAACGGTGGTGTTGGAGTGTCGTCGTTGTTTCCGTGTTCTCCAGATAGTGCCACACCGTATTCTCATACCAGGCTACTCTGTGAGCTCTACTCGTGGACATTTGATGTCACTCCGTACGGCCTGCGGCGATGCATACCTCCTCTTCATCATCTGGGCAGGCTCTTCTGTCGTTGAAGTCGGAGCTGTTCGTGCGGAACCCTATGTATCATGGCCACCAATGAGCGTACTCAGTCGTATCCGCCACGTTCGAAGTCGAGAATTCTTGTGGGCGAGCAGACATAGACTGCAGCCGGCTGTAGTCTTGCCAAATTAGCAGACAGGTCCAGGTGTGAGACCAGCGTGCAGACGCAAGCAAGCTTGCCTGTGAGATGATGTGTCAGACGTCTCCTTCGGGAAGAGGCTCATCGCTTGCTCGACACCGGGGCTTCTTGCTCTGTGGTCGACACAGCCACGTTCACTAAGTCCAGGGGTCTTGCGGCATCATGTAGTTGTCTCGGATCACGCTGGAAAGTCTCCTAGGTGACACCCATGCCACACCCCTGACGCATCTCCTTCATCGCGCTACAATTGTACTGATTCAACACTCCACACAAGTTGCAGAAGTGGCCTAGTGGTTAAGGTACTGCCCTCCCACATTGGCAGGCAGGGACGTGGGTTCGACTCCCGCCTTCTGCACCGCTTGTTTTTTTGGTCTACAGTGCCAACATCTCCACGGGGACGCAGTCTCGACGCAGCCTTTACAGACGTGTTAACATTGTGCCTCACCCAGAAGCATACAAGGTACTACAGAGACGGAAGAAGATACAGAAGACAGTCTCTGAGCATTGGTCACTCAGTGCGTGGAGGTTTACCCCTGAGTCTCCCTGGAGCACCCGTATACAAGCTTTTGGCCTATCAAGGGCAAGCATCTGGTAGAGACTCCCGATCTATATGCCACCAAACTGCCTGCTGTGAGCCATATCACTCCTGCGCCCTGGGCCTGGATATTTGCGGTCGTAAGCACAATGAGGCTCAATAGCTCCTTGGAATCCAACGATTCCATGCCCTCACGTGACATCGGATCGAATTTAGAGGAGCCTTCGCGTCAATGCGGAACTGAGTGATGTGTGCTCAAACCAGCTCTTCCGGCTGGTGAAGCACAGAGATAAGTTTTCTATGCACGAGAGTCGTCTCACAGAAAGCCGACTGGGTTTGATGCTTGAGTCTTGCCATGACACCTCGTCACACCTCACTGGAACCATTGTTGGCGCGAAAAGACTTCTGGAGTTCTAATCACCCAAGCTCTCCGTTATCGATGTTCGGGAGGTCAGTGCAAACATATACATCAAATCCTACTATCTTGTACCGGGAACTGGCCGACATGTCGTGAGAGTCATAGCCTTCCTCCACCCAAGATCCTCCATCACGGCACGACCGATCAGAACCTGAGAGTGACATCCCGGGCTTGTTAACACCGCACGATGAGCAACGAGGTCTTCAAGCCGATGTCAGCCTCGGTGGCGGTCAACGAGGCCGTCTAGCTACTGAAGTCGTTTATTGAAACTGTCGTTCCAGGATTCGACGGTCAGGCTGTCGATCGCAGCGACGTCTATCATGCCAATCCGGGTTTCTCCAGGAATTCCATGCTCCAGTCTTGTACCAAACACCGACGTGTGGTATCATGACTTTTGCAGAGAGTGGATTGCTCGAATGCGGCTAAGCCCTATGTGGGTGTGTAAGGACTGATCGCTCAAGGTATCACTTTGCCTATCCTCATCTTGAACTTCCTCAGTTACTCACCACACCCTCACAACGCTTTGCTGTCCCCATCGTTCCTACACGGACGACACCCTGCACAATCGCCTGCCACCTACTAGCATACGGTGTGAGTCTTGTCCTCTTTCCCGCCACGGGTACTGCTTGACACGTGCACGGAACCCTCATGTTCTCCACCCTCGCCACCATCATAAGAGCGTTTCGTAGTCCTTGTTTACTGACTGGCCGTAGTACTACGGGACCTCGCGAAATGACAGTCACAGCGAGCACGGAGTACGAGCTGGCTTTTCGAGGCCTGTTCGCTCGCACGGTCGAAGTCAACATCACCCGCATGGCAGTCTCGTCTGAACCACCCTCGGAGCCACTTCTGCCAAGCAGCTGCCGCCTTGCTGCCTCGAACCCCACCATCGAGCAGCAATGCAATCATCTCTTGTACGAACTTCCAGCAGATTTACGCGCCAAAAGCCTTGAGCATGTTCTGGCGTGAGTTTGATGCGGCTTCGGATCTTCCGGGTGTTCGCTGACAGGCTTCTAGATCAGGCAGATCCGTATCTTGCAAGCACTTCTTTGTTCACAAGGAACTTATCCTTGCGCCGCTGAGAGTTTGCAGAGCTCTCCGCGTCGAAGCAATTCCAATCTTCTTCAACACTCGAGTCTTCCAATTCAAGACACGCGAGCGATCCAGTCTGGACAGCTACAATCATGGAGGTACGACGATTCCGGAGAAGACAATCTTGCTACCTCCGATTTACGTACGCTCGTATATCAGGAACATCGAGCTCTTGTTGTCTGTCCCTAAGAACACCTGGGCATCCTACAACGTTGATGGTCGGAATTGTGCGGACCTGGACGAACACTGGCTCGACCCGCTCATACTTCTGAGCAACCTAGGATTCGTCAGTCTTCGTACTGTGCGAGTGGAGATGAAAGCCGCAGAACATTGGAACAAACCAGACAACGAGCATTGCACGTCTTCGACAGCGACGAAGGAACGTCGTGTTGAACGAAAAGCTTTCTTTGTCGACTTCGTCACGGGCTTCTTGCGCGAGACGCGTATCAGGGCCGAAATGTTCAAGATCGTTCGAATGAAAGACAAGGAGGTTGCGAAGGCTTTTGAAGATGCCGTGGTGTGTTATCAGTAGCTTGGGGCATCGAGATTCCCGTGTGCGCAAACTCGTCTTGAACCTGGAGGAAAAGCCTTGGCGGAGCAAGCTCTCTGTCTAGGAAGAGCGGAGAGATCAATCTGTAGTATGGGCGGTAGCTGCGCATTTTGTTGTGGCAAAGGTCACCGCCGCTGAAATTACAAAGGGCCTCCCCGGTGCGTAACCCTCTGTGACGTTGGTCACGAACCCACGCAAATCCACATGCGAGTACTGAACTGTTTCTGTTTCTGGAGTGATCAGAGACAAACGAAGCCAGCACTCTTGAGACACACAACAAATTCTGTGAAAGTGAGTGTACAAGACCTTCTGTCTAAGTGGCATGATTCATATCCGGAGAGTGCTATGCGTAGATTCTAACAACATGCTCGAAGCAGAGTGAAGACAACGCTTTACTCATCTGCCCTCACAAGCTTGTCCATTCTCCACTCGAGCGAGGTCCACATAGTTGGCAGAAGAACAGCCATTGAGTGGCATTCGGCTGTCTGTGCACTTCCGAATGCCAGAAACCATATCCTTCCTAGCGTTTCCGTTGCGCTTTACTTGTGCTCGACCTCCTGAGTCGCTTCCTCTGCCACATCATTCAACTTGGGGGTTCTTTCTGAGCCGTTGACGCCAGCTGTCTCGATAGCTTCGTCGATCGCATCCATCTTGGAACGTTTCTCCGACTTCTCGAGCGCGACTGTGGACGGTTTCTCTCCGATGGTGAGGCCGCGAAGCGCAAGTGCAATGATCGCTGGGTTGCTAAAGACGCTCGACTCGCGCTCGAGACGACCTCTTGACTCGGACGACGAAGCGACTTGTAGCTTCGCTGCGGCCTTTAGGAGGTCTTCTTCGTCCACCTTTTTGACCGCCTTGTTGCCTGACTTGGGGTACGCAGCGCGGTGCAGCTCCTCCTTGTCTGACTTTGAGTGGCGAACTCGTGGAGGTGAATGTGAGCGTTCGCGGTACTTCCGCAGTGGTTCTGATGATGAAGCGCTCTTACGACCTGCTCGTGACTGGCTACGAGCTGCAGTTCTCGGTTTGCTGTCCTTGGGGCGCCATTCGCGCTCTGGGGATCGGCTCCGTTCCCTTCCTCCCTGCTTTCCGACCTTCTCGACCTCATCCGCCTCATGCAAGATCATTCGGCCGACGGCTTGTGCGAGGCCCGCTAGATTTCTATCCTCTCGTGTTCCCGTTCGAGAAGGCACAACCTCACAAGTCCTGCCAAACACTAGGAGCTCCATTCTGAGCATCTCGCTTGCCCGCTTCTCCTGCTCCTTCTGCTCCCTCTGATGCTTGTGGCGCTCGCGAGCATCGACAGGTTGCCAGCACGTGCTGTGTGATACTTTCTCATTCGGGTACTCGATGTATTGCTCAATGCAGGCGGGACAGCAGAATGGATCTTCAAGCGACGTGTTTCCTTCGCAATTTATGCCGCAGCCGGTGATACGGGGCGTTTTGACAGTATGGCCACACTCCAGCTTGTGGTAGAGCGGGTTCTGCGGGAAGAGCTCGTAGCAGTCCGATCCATACAAGATCCTGATAATAGCTGCTTGATCGGGTTCCGGGTCGTTGAGATCCGGAACACTCTGATCGAAGCCGGGGGTCCAACCCGGTGCGAAGCGACTTTGGGGCATATCGATAATACGACCGTCCGTGATTTGAATGAGAGTCTTCGAGCCTTCGGCTGTGCCAACGATGAAACGAGTATTGGAACCGTTTGGGCCATAGACGGAGAAAGCTAGCAGTGAAGGCAAAGCGTCATCGACCGGCATTGCACGAGCATGTAGATGACTTGGAGATGAGAGGCAGAACTATCTATGGGCTGACCGATTTTAACTTGTGAGCCGTCTGCAGTGTGATGAATATTCCTGACAAAGAAATGTAGTGAACTTGATCGTTCAACCAATGAAAGAGTAGATCAATAATGGCTTTGTTCTTGTTGTACTGAACGTGTTAACTAAACGATGAAAGCGACATAATACTCGACTCACCTCTTGGCGCTCACAATTGATAGTACCTCGTTGACTACAGGCAGCAGGCAAGCGAGAGCGAGGGAAGATGTCCCGACAGAGTCGTAGTGCCAGGTCCCCTGATTTTCCACTTACCTGCCGCAAGCTTGTCTGGCATTCTGCCTCGAGCCTGCCCTTCCTCCCTGGACAACCGAAGGTTTCGGACTTCGAATGCTGCACTCCGTCAGTCAGCTCTTTTCTCGTTAGTTGCATAGCGGTCGGGTCCAATGATTGTATCGCAACTGGATCTAATCAGTGTTACCAGGTGCTCACGAGTATCGACAAAGATTGCCAAAACCTTCGATAGGTTGCCACATATAGACAGCAAAGTACACCATTCGCATGGCACCTCGCGCTGCTTGAGTTCAACTTGCATCGGTATCTAGACGGCAGCCTTCGATGGAGCCACCACCATTTGCTCTGATGCAAGCTTTGACCTGCAGAACATGTATTCCTTTTTGACAGGTATTCCCGTTAGATGGCTGAAGCTTCTGATAGATCTGATTTGTGCGTCCGCTATAAGACATGAATGACCAAAGCTCATGAGGCATAGTTGTCAATCGGAGCCTCATCCTTGACCGTTTGCCACACGTGCTCAATCTGCTCCACCACCTTCTCAGGAAGCGGCCCCTTCTCTATCTCCTCTAGAGTCTCCTTCAGCTGCTCGGGACGACTGTTTGGAAATAATCAGTGGATGAGTCTTTCACGGATTGATGGACCTTACCTTGCGCCAACAATGATACCGTCCTGGTACTTGGTAGCGAGC